ACAATTATGACAAATCATGGCTTGAACTATCTTGCTTTTCATGTAATGAGTCTATTGCATATATTAGTTTCACCTTTTAAATTGCATTACTGAAATAAATGAACTTTTGCACGATATTCTAATTTTTCGAGTTTCACCTGTAAGTAGATGCTCCAGAGGTTTTATAGAAAAAGTGTATTTAAAATATAAATTTAAAGAAACAGACTAGAATCCCACTACTGTTTCAGGCTTAAGACAATAAAAGACAAAAGACTGATTTGACAGAGTGGCGAAATGAATGTACTGTATGACGATCTTGTTACAGATGAAAAAAAGTAAGATATACAATTATGTCAATGAGAAATATTGTATTAATAGAAAAAGTAATGTTCTATACTTCTTGATTATTATTAATGGTACCCTATTAACTGCTTTCTTTTTATTTTCTAGGATGGATTTATGATCTCACACAAAAATATGACTTTTCTTTCTACATATGTGGCTTCCTTTATATGGTGGGAATACTTACTTTGCTCATTCAGCCTTATATAGATAAGGAAAAGCCAGCATCAGAAAAACATATAGAAAATGGAAATGTTTAGAACTGTTCAATTCATGTTTTTATGGAAGAAATCTTGCATTTCTGAAGGAAGTATCAAATTATATATCTGATGGAGATAACAGTGTTAAACAAAACTGAACATATCACCCCTTATACTAAGGTGCATGTCAACCAATAATTGAACACTAATTTTTGTGAAGTTGGAGGTAAAAGGCAGGAAACAAAGAGCTTGGGTATGGAGTGATCATTCGCCACCAAACACCAAATAGAAGGCCAGTGTAAGAAAAAGTCTGTTTGAATCTTGGTGCTTGCATATAAATAGTATCGGGTTCCTAGTTTGATAGAATGGATTTTCATCTTTCTGCAATTGCTTACTGCCATAATAAGATATCGAGTACAAATTCCTTTGAGACTGCAGAGTTCAGCAGGAAGATTATTGCAAGGGGCCAAAACATATATACTTGACATTTTTCCTTATTTCTGATCCAGTGAAAGAAAGACAAGTTCGGATTTTCTAGGCCAAGACCATGGTTCCTGACTTGCTTTTGCTATCCTGTTTACCATGGGTTAGATTTTAATGCTTTGCTCCAATATCAGTATCAAATGGCAACCTAGAAAGATCAGTCCATTCAATGAACCATCTGCTAATGGACTGGAATGTACCATAGTTCAACACACCAGTAATCCTAGTGCAGTTTCCAATTGCTTTAGGAACTGTTGTTGCAATAGCTACTATAATTACAGTTTTCCATTGTTCTTTCATTTTGCCTGGCAAATATGATGGGAATGTGGGCAAAAAAATATGATCTTTTCACACTCAGTATGAAGTACAGTTTTAAAAAAACCAGTGGAGAAATGACTACAGATCACTTCTTCATAAGATTTATAATAGTATTGAATAAGGGATGGTGTATAAAACTTCCCACCACTTCAAAATAGCCTAGATGTGGTTAATGATGATAATTTTGTAATGTGTTTGAAGAGTGTTTTTGATAATTCTGCTAAACTGAAACCATAAAATCAACTGCCTGTGACAAGATAACTGCTTGATGAATGCATATGTGGTAGACTTTCAGATATTAGGTCAAGATTTGAACTAGAATGTAAAGGGAGTAAACCACCAGTTTAAAGAGGGCCTAGCTGATGAGTTATGGGATGAGTTCACTGGACAGGGAATCTCAGGGATCCTGTCTGTGTTAATCTAATTCTGAATTTGAAAACAGAAGACTCAAAGAATCATGGCAACGCTACTGTGAAAAAGGAAAATCTCACCGTTCTCTTGTCTTGTTTCCTCTTCTTGCTCATCACAATATTCTAATGGCAATTGATAGCTAGCAGGAAGAGTCTTTCTGTAAAAGAAAAACAATACTGGCATGCAAAAGAATTGTCCTTGTACTGTTAAGAATTGAGCCATTTTGCTCAGGAATGTCTTGCTTAGTCTCTCCTTCCTGGTGTAACAATTAAGTTCTATAATTAAGGAGAAGAGAAATACTTTGCAAACAGATTCCGTACACACTTCAGATTTGGGCTAGTTAGAAAACAAGTTTGTCAGAGCTGAGGATTTCTAAAAAAATTATGAAGGGTCCAGGGTTTTGACCATAGATATCAACATTTGGCCCTTTGTTTCTATGGAGCTTCTTAATCATTCAGGTCATGGTTGTCCCAAAGGTGTTTTTCAAAAGGAACCTAGACTTTCTTGGGGTTCCCCCCCTTTAAAGATGTTTCGCTTCCCATCCAAGAAGATTATTCAGTTCTCTCTTCTTCAAACTAAAGAAGCTTCTTGGATGAGAAGTGAAATTTCTTCAAGAAAAAAACATCAAGAAAATCCAGTTGCCTTTTGAAAAGCACCTTTGGAATGATTTGGTCCTTTGTGTTACTCTTAAGACTTAAATTTGCTATGTAATATAACTGTCAGCCCTGAAGCAGGCCTGACTGAGGCCAGTTTTCCAATATATTCTAGTACTACGGGCAATTTTATCTCTGTAATCACACACTACTATGCCTTGCCTTTTCAGCATAATAAATTGCCAATGTGGATGGAAATATCAGTGACAAGCTCTTAAGATCTGGCTCAGTTACTGAGTGCACAGAAATTTCTATTATCATTATCAAGAACTTAATTATTTTAATTCGACAACCTGATGCATTTTTCTATTGTCTTGGCAATTGCTTCACTTCAGATTCATAATGTGTGCATTCATTGGGACCAAGAAAGCATTATGTTTGACTTTCAGTTATCTTAGATTCATGGATTTCAAGATCTGACTCACTCCATCGGTTAGACTTCATCCAAGTTATTTTATCTGCCTGGTATTTTGACCAAAAAAACATTTTGTGAAGTAAAAAAACACAGAATTTACTCTCCCAATGGTTTTGTAAAACTATAATTGTTTCTAGAACTAAGAGCTGAGCAAAATGTTTATATCTGGAACTCAATTGGTGTGCCTAAATGAATTTATTGATGATAAATTGTAAATGGAATGCATGGCTATCATTACTTTTTATTATTATTTGTTTTATCCTATTTTCTTTTTCACTGTCTTGAATGTAAACTATGAGGGCGATTTAGAAGTACTGTAAAATAAGCAATTAAATGGATTTTGTTCACCAGTCTTCTATGTCATCTGGAGGCTTTGTCTTTATTTTAATGAACAAAAGAAACATCTCTTCGTGTAGTTTATAGTTTTAGATCTGGAACTCTGTTACCTTCTTTTACTTATTTCTGAACTTTTAAAAATAGATAGACAAAACCTACATTTTTAAAACAAATTGTATTTGGGAGATTTTATATCCTAACCATATGAAAGAGATGCATAAATATTTAACGATATGCCAGTTACAGGTTTCAATATATTGTAATGGAACTCAGTTTGGCCAATTTTCCTGCAGTCTTCACGCAACTTATGAATCACTCTCTTCCTTTTTGACAAATACCTATCTAGTTAACCTGGAAATTTATTCTGAAAAATTAGATGAATGTTTTGCACACAGACTTCAAAGTTATTGCTAACACAACTTGAGTGCTTACTTAGAAAAAAAAATGGCTTGCTTTAGATTAGATATTGTATTTCCTGAAAAAGTATGCAAATAAATCCTCTTATGAATGCTCTCCTATCTCAGGACCACCATCTTCATTTTGTACACTTCTAGTGTTTCCTGGGCTTCCTAATTTCTTTTGTAAGTTTATTCCAAATTTTACCATTTTAGCTATGCCACTCATAGAGTTGACAAACTTTTAATTGAGACCCTGGCACTTAGCAAGCTTTCCTCCCAATCCACTTCAGCCACCCAAATCTTTCCCTTTGTTATTAAAAATGATGCCAGTTTTTACTCTTGAAGCAATGATTTTACAATCTATGCTGTGGGCCACCTGGTTATATATTTTTGTCTGGATAACTTTTTCCAGCCCAGAGAAATTATTAAGTTTTAATACAGAGTTTTTGCCATTAAGGAGGCCTTTCTGGAAGGAATGAAATAGAGTAAGAATCAAGGACCAGAGACACGGGAGAGGGCCGGAGCATTANGTGTAAAAAGGGTAACTATATAAATGTTCTGAATAAATAAATCACTGAATTCTCCTTTCTCCAGTTCTCAATGGGGTAATTTATACAACCTCAGATATATATATTCTGAATTACTGTTCTACTGCCTTGTCTTGATCCAGTTCTTAGCCCTTCATCAATTTTATGTACTAGTCTGTCATGAGCACATACAGATTACTGTATTCATAAAAGAGAACGTTTTGAAACTTCTGACAAACTTTAACTTGCTGAGAACAGCATAATGCAGGAATCAAAACATATGTTTTTAAGGAATTTTCAGCTGGTCGTCTGAGGATTTCTGAATTAATTTTTAGCAGCTTTTCAGACAATGTCTGGGACAGAAACACTATACTTCGTTGTAAATGGTTTATGATAAATTACTCTATCACTAATTCAAACTTGAAAAATGTGCAGTTCTGTTTATATTCTGGAAGTATCTCTTAATTCCAAAGTGATCTAAAAATGTCTTGTTATAGAACGATTTAAAGAAACCCCTAAAGTCTGGAACTGAGAAATAATTAAGTTTTGCATTAAGTGCTAAGAAATGATTTTATCCTAATTTTTAGTATTCTGAACTGTATTACAATAATCTGGAAGAAAACAGATGAATGCTTTGTAAATTGTAACTGAGACATCAGCAGTTTTACTCTATTAATCATTAACAAGAAAGATAGTTAATAAAAAATACAAGTTTGGCAAGCACTTTCTCCTTCCCTTAGGCTATTGAAGAGGACCTCTTCAAACAGCAGTAGAAATATATTTGTTAAGAATTATAGTAGCTCAAATCAGTCCCCTTGGTAACTTAAAGAGACTTAATTTAAAAGAAATGTGCATTCATATAAATAAATTAGAACATAAAAATAAATTTTAGAATGGCTGGGATTTTATTGTGGGATAGACTTTCTAGTGTCTTTCATTATTTTTGTTTGTTCCTAATGGATTTCAAAAGCTTGCATATGTTTGTGATGTAACATACAGCTTCTTTGCTTATTGTTAAAAGTGATGTTACAAATCAGTAGATGACCACAGCACTAATATGCCTATGATGATAAAAATATTAAGACAAACACTGTAACCATAGCTGATTGAGTTACAATATGACAGCTTGGAAGTTGAAATCATCCATCCTCAGCTATTTATGCCAAAGATTTTATCAGGCCAGGTTTACACTGATTCAATAGCCAGTTCTTCCAATAGGCTGGAGAATAGGATGATGGTAAACTGTGATTTCCTTCCAATTTCTAATTTATAGCTAGTCTGGCTTTTTGACATGCAATTTTTATGTATGTATCGTACATGTTTATGGATGTATTGTACAGCCTATAATTTCAGTTGCTTGCTTTAGACTAAATACTAAGTTTATTAGTTAGTAATTGTACAAATCCAGAAAAGTATTTATTCAGGATCACCATTTTAGGATTTCGTACAAATCCAATCAATTATGGATTAATACAATGGGTAAACTCAATCTTAGACTGAGTTTGCATGATATATTCATTTCTAAATTACAATGGGTAATAGTGCATCTGTGGTGAGGCAAGGGTGGATGATTGGTGTGCCAAATGCAGCATTGTGGTGTCCTATCACAAATCCTGTCATATTGTAGACATTGTCAAAAAGCTGGCAGAATTTAGGCTGCAACTCTTTTACAATTTTGACAAAAGCAATGACAGTTTGCAGACGTCACTATTGGGAGCCACACACAGAACACCATTACTTTCCTGTGCATGCTATTATTGTATGCATTATATATTGATTTTCCAACCTGTATATTCTGTCTATTTGTCAAACTTCATGTGGTTATATTATAAGTCTCTATCTTGAGGGTCTTCATCCCAGATGCCATAATCTTCAATAAACTTTAATTACAGCATCTGGATTAATATGATGGCTCTCTGGGGTATGAGTAACATATTAAATCTGAATTTCAGGCTTAAATTAGTGTGTGTATATGTGCATGCGTGTATAGGGAATAAAATCATACATGCTTAATTGTTATTGCTAGTTGATCTATGGTGAAAACATAGCCTTGGAGTGCCTTCAATGTAAATCAG